TGTGCAGAAGCATTTCGCAGTAGCATCATTAACATGGAATACCCGTTATGAGTGCCCAGGCAATTTTAGTAACACTCGCAAATGAAATTGGCCAGAAATCAACTAGCAAGTGGACATTGGCTTCACCACGGGGTCACTTCCGGGCTCATCCTGTTGCGGTCACTTTACCATATTGTGTGGTCGATTGGAAGGTTTCAGTAAACAAAGTATCGTCACCGTACCCCCCATCTCCAGCGCTACCGTACCCATGTCGATATCGTTATCTCTCTGATGGCTGAAATTTGCAAAAAAACGAAGGGCACTTGCTTTTGGCGTCCAGGCAATCTTAGTATCCCTGGCAAATGAAAGCGGCCAAAAATTAGCTAGCGAGTGGACATTGGCTTGACCCCTGGGTCACTTTCAGCCCACCCTGTTGCGGTCACCCTGCCGTAGCCAGGTCGATTGGAGGATTACGGTAAATAAAGTATTGCCACCCCCTCGTCCTGCGCTACCGTACCCACGTCGATACCGTTATCCCCGTGATGGCTGAAATTTGCATAAAACAAAAGGCTCAAAAACGACGCTGTGGCGATGCGCAGTCGCATTGCGTGCAAAGTCTTCCTTGCTCGAGGCGGTGTGGAGGAGGAACGCTTATCCATCGCAGCGCGTCTGCCGGTGCCACGTATTATTTCCTCCAGGACGCCAGCCGTGGTACGCATTGATTTTCTTGGCTGGTTTTAGCTTCTTTCGAGCTGCTTACCTCGGAAGCGCACGCTTTTTTTTCGCATCATGAGACATGGGCGGATCTGGAGGGGGAAGGAGGAATGGCTAACTCCGGAACCGGGAAGGCTGGGAGGCTGAAATTTCCAGAGAATGCTCCCAGCCCATCTACAACTTAAATTTATCAAATTCAGCCCCCGATCATGCGTGGTTCACTTTCTTCCTCCCCCGTCACCCCTCCCCTCCCCCTCACCCGTTCCTAGGAGTCCATCCTGGATCCGTCTACGCCATGGGATTTGTAGGTGGGAGAAATATGAGAATATTTTAGGGGTAATAAACAAGAAATCCCACGCGAAATGCTGAACAGCCAGTATGGCATGGCAGCCCTGCTGTCGGGCCTACGAGAAATGGAGCGCAATCCAAATACGGGGGCAACGCTTGCAGCAGGTCACGACGTTGCAACGCTGGGTGTGAACTTCAACGCCACCGGGTAAGTTTTTCCCACTTTTGGCATTATCAAATCTCCCTCCACTCCCCCTTCCCCTCCCCCCCCTCCCGCCCTTGTCCCTCTTTCGGGTAAACACTCCCTATGGAAGGAAAAGATACTCGGGAAATACCCTCAAGTGGTAGCAAATGCCAATAGCAATCGCTCGCTGACAAGACTGTTGATGGCTCCGCTCTTTTAATAAGATGTAAAATTTATATAAAATTTGATTGTAGATTTGGTCCTTAGAGGTCCTGGTGCTTAGAAATGTTTAGAGTTCCTGGCACGGCACTGACTGAGATTCCGACAGATTCGCACTGGTCC